CTATAGCATCCCAGCGCTCTGCTAATTGAGATGATACTCCTTCCCCCATGACACATCTTTAACCAGACTCGAAATAGATTTGTTGCCCAGCAGGTACATCGCTATATTGGCTTTTCTGTAAGTAGCAACTTAAAGACAGAAAAAGTCCCATACTGTATAAGACAAGGACATGCAATTGTGGACTGGTAGAAGACAGCAGTGCCCAGAGCCTGGTTCGAGTGCTCCTTCATTCTGTTGAATTTCCCATTTCTTTGGCATTAAGCTCATGATCGATAGCTGATAGTGTTAAGAAGGAGAAGCCTTAAGTGGGCAAGAAAATCGCATGGCCAGTAGTCAACACTATGACTGGGATCTGCAGGAAAATTCAGTGCTCACAGTGAAACAATGCTGGACATTAATTTACAGGATCCAGTGATACACTTGCAGTAAATAAGATACAGTATGGGTTTGGGGCTGTGATGTGTTTAACTCTCTTTGCATGCTTTATTGTGTTTTGTATTTTATTTATAATTTCATTGGCTGTGGTGGGTGTCAGGCTCATAGAAGGCTGAGGTGCAACTGAGTTTAGGAAACTTCAAAAGCTGTGGTCTTCCGTCAGGGTCCTGATGGCAGTGCCTTCAGTCCGGAATTCCACTGTCCTGGCTCCGTGCTCCAGTGACGACATGAGCTGAAGGAATTCTTCCACTGGGAAGGGGAACGTTACCTCACAATCTGTGTTAATTACAATAATCCTCTGCTCCTGATGACATGCCTCGGTGGTTAACATGGCCGAAGTGCAAAAGACACAGCTGTGAGTGAAAAAGCAGAGCTTAACTTTGGCATAAAATGTACATTTTGTACCTGAAACAATTTTAATATTTAGAAATGTTAATGTGTGGTGGTACAGTGATATAGTGATTAACATTGCTACCTCACCACACTAGGGCTGTGGATTCAATCCCAGACCTGGGGTGCTATCCACGTGGAGTTTGCATGTTTTACACGCGCTCAAGTGGATTTCCTCTGGGTGCTTCAGTTTCCTCCTGCAGCCCAAAGACATACTAGAAGGTTAATTGGCATCTGGGAAAATCGCCATGTGTGAGAATCTGAGTGTCTGTGTGTCTGCCCTGTGATGGACTGGTGTCCCATCCAGGATGTACCCTACCTTGTGCCTGGTGGTTGCTGGGATAGGCTCCAGCTCCACCACAACCCTAAATTGGATGGAACGGTTAGAAAACGGATGGATGGATGTACCCCTGTTACGTGGGAAGTGGAATGACAAATGTTTAACCCACTGACGCGACACATTCCTGTAGTCATGCAGTGAACTATCTTGTGGTTAGCAAAAGCTCACATATTTGCCTTAAGGCAACGAATAAGATTTAAGGTGGCAGAGTGAGGCAGTCCTTGTGAAAAACCGAGATTTCATAACTAATGGCATCCTTTCATCCTCCCAGTATCTACTTGGGTTACTTTTTGTAGTTACCCTTAAGGATAGGAAAAAAATTTGGCTTATCTCCTTGAAATTAGAGACTTAATGTTACTTGTGGAAACAATTCAAATGAAAATGGATTTCATTAACTTTTTAACTATGCTCTTACAAATTATTTTGAGAATGAACTTGACTCAGTGTAATACAGTGTTAATCTAGTTTAGTAATTATCTTTGAGGGATGATTAAAGAATGAGATAAAATAAGCATATTGCTGTAGGTCCTCTGACAGGTTACAGAGAATTTCCAGGGTGAATGTGCTGGCAGTTTATTAAATCTGGACACCGCGAGATTCTAAAAAACATCGCCAGTGAGTTTTCCCTTCCCTAATTACTAAACTCCTAGGGATAGACAAAACATGCCTGTTAAAACTTGTGTTGTAATTTCTGGATTAGCAGCCGCACCTAAGGGGTAACACCAGAATTAAAGTGTTTTGTTCTTCCCAGCAGACGCACCCTGTTTCCAAGTGGTGCTTGGAAGACGTGTTGCCATTAGCCATGGATTTTAATGTCCTCCACTAACTTCTGTAACCCTTTTCCTGACCTCTGGTGGCCAGAAGGCTATCTCTGTGACTCCAGGTGATGAGAAATGACTTCACATGCTTCCATTATGGCTTCAAATGGCCGGGGCAGTCTGACCCTTTCTGGGTTTTCTTGTAGAAACAGGCAGATATGATGAGCTACTGTATGTGCAATTTCGGTGTGATGTGCATCTCTTAAAAATGTAGGATCTGAACTAAATAGAAGGTCATACAAATAACAAAGAGTAATTTCTTTTCTGCATTGTTCTCCAAAAGCAAGCAATATCCAGGGCATCATTTTGGATTTAGAGAACTTTAGAGTAATTGTAAATGAGGGACATACTGTTTATATATGCACATACTTATACAAATTAGGTTACAATAAAATCAATACCTTAATCCCCTTGATACAAGGGGCTAAAATTTGTTTAGCTGATGCCTTTGCTTTAGTTGTTACATTTTAAGCTCCATTATGTTAAGTAATGAATGTGTTCTCCAACTGCTTGAACACATTTCACCTCCGGTAGCTTATAAACTGGCCTCTTTTACACCTGTAACACCTGTGTCCTCATTAGTTCCGCTCAGTCAGCACAGCGTCTAGCAATGCAGTTGGTGACTTCAGCAAGCAGGCAAGAAAATAGAGCATTTTTGATGGTTTTGCTAGACCAGGAGGCAACTCTGCACGTCTGGGGTTTGCAACTCGCAAGCTTGCATCTAGTCATTGGATTGGGGATTTTGACTGACATGGTGCTGGGACATCTTCCCGTTTTAGGGATATCTTCCACTTCTTCTACAGACATCTACATCAAACAAATAGTGTGAAGGCCAATATAATCATTGACTGTCATGACTATCCCTTTGGACATTGAATTTGAGCTCCTTCCATCAGGATAATGATTTAGACTACCTAGATTAAGATACAGCAAATCTTTTATTCCCACAGCTATTAACATCCTTACTGAGTATATATTTTACTTTATTTAGATATGTTTTTCTTTCTTATCATACATGTACATCTTTTATTTGTTAATGTGTAGTCTTCAATTTATTATGCATTGTGTTGTCTTTTACTTGCTTGCAAAGCAAATTTCCCATCTGGGACAGTAAAGTAAGTGTATTGTGTCAATTCTTTCATGGTAGAGAAATGGGAATGGGACACTCCAATTCTACAGTATGTGATTTTTGTAATTAAATTCCTAAAACCTTTAGGGCAAATCAGAAGTATTTATCTGAACCAAACATATTTAGAAGTAAAAGGTTTTTCTCCTGTCCCTCTGTTGTTAAAGCTGTTATCTCTCTGAGTTCTGGCCTATAAAGGTGTGATTATCACACAAAGCACTGCCTGGGGTGCATCTCACTCTAGATTCTAATGGTTATAAAAAGGACCTAGCATCTCCCAGCACATAGATAACTACCATCCTGAGGTCCATTTGGGTACTCTGTTATAAAATTAAAGGGCTTTTTTCCCCCCTGTGTTAAAGAAATGTTCACTTACTTAATAGATGACATTCTTGTGGTCTCATTGGACTAATATAATCTTTTATGAATAGTACCCAGAATTATTTTTTTGCCTAAAACTGTATTGTTATATATTTTTTTCTTTAATAGGTTTATATAAAAATGTTAAAAATGTGTATTTATTGACCCAAAAGCAACATCAGTAAGAAAGGCTGGGAAGGACAGTGTGTGGTGGATAGTTTTCCTAAACACATGTGGCCTTAAAAGAGCCCTGTTCAGAAGTCCCTGTTCCTTAGAAAAAGCAGACTACATTCCTGGCAGCACAAGGTACAACTTGTTATTGAGGCTTTGCACAGATTGGTATTAAGGAAAACAGACACACACACTTGTATTCCTGTATTTATGGGGACTTCCCATGGACTCCCAATTTATTTTCATTTACAGTTCTATACTCCACTGAAATGAAACTCGACACAGTGACAGTCGACCCAAAACAAATAATTCTGGTATTTTTAAATTGACGAGCAAATGCCATTTGGTTTGGAGGTGAAAAAAGTCATTTGCAATTGCAGTATGGGTCCTCATTGTCTGTTTGTCAGGATGTACTGCCTTAGTGGGGATATTGTCAGATTTTGTCAGGTAAACATGCCTGCTCAGACACACACACACACTTACAACAGCAGCCCTGCGCTGGGGCGAGCACTGAGCTGAGCCGCATTGATTTAATGCATTACTCCAGCAGCTCGAGAGGAGAGGTAGAATCTCTCCAGACTGCATTAGGAGTGCCTCGAGCCTTTGTGATTCCTTTTGATCAAATCTCTGTGAAAGATGAGTGTCATGCCCTCTTCCAGCCAGCTGTGAGGGGACTGCCCTGTGACTCGGGGGGGCGAGCTCAAGCACGGCACGCCGGGGCTCCGAGGGGAGAGGCAGCTCCAGAGGTGAGATCCAGGCTCAGCCTCCCAGCACCGGAGGACTCCGAGTGGGAGGATCCCGTTCCCCTCCCCTGTGCACAGCTTGAACACACAGCACATCTTGAGTAGTTTAGATCCAGACGAGAGAGAAAAAAAAGACAAAAAAAGGTGTGTGTGTGTGCACGCAGTGCGCGTGTGTGTGTGTGACAGACTGTGAGACGGTGTGATGGTTTTTCTTGCCGTAATACTTGTACAGACAAGAGAGTTTGAAGCATTTCTTTTGTAGGACTCGTAGGGAATGGCAGACTGTATGGTTACTCTGGAAACATCAATTTAATGAGAATGTCTGAGGTAAGAAAGGCACTTTGTTTACATGTCGCTGTTGTTTCGCGTCACATCAAGGTGCTCCATGTAATTTGTGTGCGTTTTTAAATAATTGATACATCATTTTAACTAGTTAAACATCTTCTACCTTTTAAAACCAGCTGCGGGCTTCAGAAGGTTTAGAGATTCTGTTGGACTCAGGATTTAATTGTTTTTTTTTCTAACTTCATTGGAACTTCTGGTGTCAGAGTTTGTTGTGCACATGAACCATGATGGGTGTTGGAATTTTTTTCTTAAAAAAAACAGCATCTCCAAAAAAAACATCAACTTTTGACACTAGATGTGATTTAAGCCTTAGGTGTACTCAGCCAGGATCGGTGTGATTGTCCCTACAGGTCATGTATGCAGAAGAGGCAACTCCCAGCAAATACACCAATAAGTTTAAAAAAAGAAAAAATATGCAGGAGACAACTGCAAGCAGTTTTGTAACACATTCTTTTGCTGTTTTAGAAACCCTGAAGCATATATCTTTATTTTCAGCAAATGTGTAACTGGAAGCTATCAATAAACTTCTGCAGCAGTTTTTCTTAATAATAATTATTTAATTCCGTTTCATTGTTGCTACTGGCTAGCACATCATATAAGAAGCTTATGGTACAGTGGCTTGTGGCTCTTTCAGCTCCTTACTGCCCGGTGTCTGTTGGAGGGTAATTTTACACTGATGTAATGTTTTGTGAAGCCTTAATGAAACAATTAGGAGCTCGTTAATCTCGGCCACAGTGGCCTCTCAACGTGGCATAACTGTATATTTCTGTCCAGGGTAAGTTTATTTTGCAATATTGCATAAAATTGTAGGTTAGAAAATATTTTTGAATTAAGTAACATGTAAAGATACACATGAAATAGTTTTAATTTTTATGTTTTTAGCTGATTAGAGGAGAATGAATAAAAATGATTTTGTAAGTAGATAATAAATGGAACCCAGAAGAATACCCCACAAATATTGTGCACTTTTACCAAAAAAAAATTTCGTCTATAGTTTGCACTGAAAAAAAGACTGTTTAGAGCTGTGCTCTTAGTTGATAGCTCCCAATCTGGAAAATTGAGGTCAAGAAATTGAGTTTATAATAGTGTGTTTTTAAAAGCAGGAGTGATACCATTTGTACAGTAGACAGAGATAGGCAAGGAACAAACGCACTGCTAATGTCTCAGTTTACTGGATTATTCACACAGACAGGGAAGCTCCACAGATTGCCACACACATGTGGCGATTTTGTCCTTTTTTTGTTGACAAGTCACTTTTGTTGTTTTCAGCTAGGTTTTTTTGGTTTCTCCCTGTTCTTCTGGTTAACTACAGTACCTAGCCCCCTTAAAGCGTGTGGGCCGACAGTTTGGCTTGTCTTTCTCTGTGCTAACTCAGTGTTATGTAGCACAGGCCCTGAGGCGTGTTGTGTAGCTTTGTGCTCCTGCAGCCTGTGAGTGTAGTCAGCTTCATTAGTTTCATGATGGTACACCAGTGCGTGGCTGGTGCTGCAGGCCCCTTCCAGCTACTCTCAGAGCAGGATTCGCACTGCTTTGGTTTGGATAAGCTTGCAAGGATTTGTCAGCCAGATGTGACAAGATTGTCAAGAGGCAAGCAAAGAGGGAGATCTGATATTAATCAGCGCATAGCTCGGAGCCAAACTTTCTCAAAACGCAGTGTACTAACATGTTCTTCTCATTTACTGCTTTTCTTTGTGGTCTCAGAGCTGCCACTGTCTCATTTTTAGACTGTTAGACTGGAAGCCGGTAAAACAGCTCTTTACATGTCCAGAGCAGACCCTCTCATGGAGAAACAGGTAAAGCTGAAATACTTTTGTTTCTGTTTGCCTCATGATCGTATTCTTGTGAAGTCTTGTAGGGTAGTTCAGGATTTTTGTTACATTGAAGCAGCTCAGTGAATTGTTAGCTTTTTCGGTAAAAGAGTCACTATAAACAAAGGCATTCGGAAGTGGTGAGTTGTCCGTTCACTTTTTGGAATTTTCTTTTCTACACTGATTTTGAGCATTGTTGAAAATTTCAACTCAAAAAGTCATTTTCATATCTTTACTTGTGTCCCTGTGATAGCAACTGGCAGAGTGTTCTGTTTCATTGAATCACTATGTTTAACACATTTAGGAGCTAAGACTGTTTTCTAAGCACTAGTAATGTCCACAATCAAAAGTGAAGTACTTGTCCTGTTTTTTTCTACATTTTATGTAGTTTTGGAAAAAACACAAAGGTGTTTTTCAAAACCAGATTAAAAGCTATAAAATGTTAATTAGAGTAGTTAATTGCAAAGAAATGCCTTGTGTTTTACTGTGATAATCCTGTATCACACCCAAATCAGTCTGTCTTTAATGTCTGAATCATATTGAATGAACTACATGTGGTCTAGAAACAGACATACTGTACAGATATAGTACAATTGGGGCATTTAGGATAAAGCTTAAACATTGTTGTAGTTATGGGTTTAGTTCTATTTTTTTCTTGTCCAACCTTAATGAGACGCCGCCTTCACTGAGGAAACACTCCCAGTATTCTTGTATGGAGAGGAACAATATTTCCGAAAGAAGCGAAAAGGACATGTATCAAGATATTACCGTTTAGAATACAACAGTGCTGTTATTCGTCACTTTTTAAGCCTTTTGGTTGCTTTAATGTAGACTTCGAATTATTTTTTCATACTATCAGTTTACTCAAATATATTTAGTTTTTCCTCAATCAAAAAGTGTACAATTCAAATTGAGTTTAAGGATTTCACTTGCTACGTTAATTTGTCAGGATTGTTTCACGAACCACAGTTAAACAATTGAAACTTGCCTTTAAAGACATTGTCATATGTGGAATCAAGTATTAAATTCTTCACCTTTGAAATGTCACACAAGCGACATTTGTATTTCCAGTTGTCATGTGATGGTACTGTATGCCTGGGTTCATGGGTATGATTTGATTTATGTTTATCTTTCTGTTTTATGTACATGTGGCTTTTTAAGCATGAGAAAGTATTTTGAAACCAGGAAATCTATAATCCCTAATCCATGAATTGTACTAGATTTGGCGCAGAATGATGATTTTTGTACTCTGCGTAGTGCCTGTATTCCTGTAGCTCATGCTACTACAGGGACATATTGCTTAATTAGAAGAAGGTGTGTGTGAAGCTCTGAATGCTCAGAGGGACAGTGATTTTTAAGGCAGAGATGCCAGCGCTGAAAGGGGTTTTAAGAACGAAGGTGAAAACAGTTGCTATTGATCCGTTATCTCAGTCCTGGTTCATTATCTCTTCTGATCCTATACACATTGTATCACTTAAGCAGCAGAAGGACTAGCACAGAATCTAATTAATAACAGTTGCTGCTAATTAGTGACAGTCTGAAAGATTTACTGTAGAAATGAGCCACGCTGAATCGAGCAAGATGGAGTGTTTGTTTTATGGTATAAGGAAGGAGAAAGTGGTATTAAAATGTTATCTTTTTCTGTTACTTCATTCCTTATTATTTGGCTTCTTTGCAAGAGTCTATCGTTTGACCTGTGTGTGATTTTTATCAATTAGTCACTGCTGGAATAAACGCTGTTTTCCACTCCTACACAGTCTGTCGCAGTAAAGGGAGAGTACAGAATGATGTATATCTTACTGTCCTTTTTATTTCCTTAACAGTTAAGGTCAGTAATGAAAGTCCTGTTTTGTGTGGCAGGCTGTACCAGGCATTTTTGGAGCTGATTTACTTAACAGTAAATTTTTTATCTAGTCCATTCTCTGTGTCAATTAACAGCTGTTCAGTCTTATTATTCAAGCACATCTTTTTAGTCTATGAAACAGAATTCATTGAACAAATCCCCATTTAATTTCCCTTTACCTTCCCCGGTATGTTATAGTTTTGACCCCAAGTGACATGAGACTGGGTTCCACAATTCCGCAAAATAAAATGGGTCTGGATGGTTTGACACAACTGGAAGAATAAAGCTGAAACAGAACTCCTGTTCTGGAAGTGGAGATGTGTTGAAATGTTCTTTTGGTAGTAGATATGGATGTGATTCTCCAAATGAGTTTGGGCTACATCCTGTCCCTGGTATTATGGCATTATTACACTAATATAGCGTCTCAGGAGTCAGCTGTAAGTGAGGGCGGTCGACAGTACTGTTTAATACATACAGTAGCACATCCACAATGTGAGGAATTAAGGTACATGAATGAAAAAATATTGAGCGTGTACAAATGTTTCCAGACGTTCCTTGCTTAATTCTAAGTCAGGACTAATTTATTGATTAGGAGGCAAAGAACAGAGTGAGAAGTAAATGGTGAAATTAAGGAGCACAGGGTTTTTATTCCCTCCCAGAGAACACTTTGGTCCTGAAGAGGTGAGGTCTGTTTCCTGGCGATCGTGTTTGGTTCTGCCTGTTTCTGTTTTTCCTACTTATTGGAACCACGGATGTTTTGCTGTATGAGCAGGGGCTGAGACATGTGTCTGGGCAATGGCTTGCACAAGAAGCCTCCCCTCCTACAGATGCATGTTATCACTTAGGTCTGGTTGTCCTGGTATGCTGCTGCTGCTTTCACAAACTCCTCCAGCCTGCTTACTCAGACAGATCGGCCAGCTCTCCTACAAGAACAGGGCTTTCATTTTAACTATAGCTAAGGAGCATTTAATTGGGACAAATGACTGTAAACTGTAGTGAGACTGCAGATTTACTGCATTGTAAGTGCACATTAGACACATTGAGACTACAATTACAGAGCAGTTACAGTGATGTTACACTGCATTTAGAGGGGGTTCCAAGCACCAGAGAACTAGTATCACTTCAATGCAATATAAATGCAGTATAATTACAAATGCATAAACACTAGTTTTTACACTGCCTTCAAGGAAAAATCATTTTTCCGTACAGCATTTTAAAGCCTTAGTACATAGCTGTCTATGGATGTACAGTATGATGTGCCATGAGAAATATCTGCAGGAATTAATCTGATTTAAGCAGTATTCTCAACATCCGCTTTACAGCTGTCAGGTTTGGTTTATTGTTTGTATGTAAAAACCTTTTGGCGTGTTTTTTTCACAGTGTGGTTGAATGAGGTTAAGTTGTTTGACCAGATGTGATTGTACCCTGCTATGGCAGATAAGAAGCACAGTGTGTTGCGAACAGCATATCCTCCCATTTTAACAAATCAACCACATTTCTTTATTTAAATGAAATATCTGACATCATACTGTGTTGTGTGGATTCTAGCAGCAAGATGAAAAGTGGAATGTACAGAGAATTTGTTCAATTTTTTTTCCAATGGAATTGCCCAAGTTTTAAAAAAATACTGGAAAATACTTTGAATTTAAAGTGCTGTTTTTGACAACTAACCGTATGAGACTTGTTTATGTACTGTATGAAATTATAGAAATCTTTAATCTTCTGACATTGTCTATTGAAAATTTTCTTTGCTTCTGAAAGTTAAATTTACAGAACAAAAAAATTGATAATAAATTAGGTTTAATTTTTCTAATTTTTTAAATACTGTATATTGTGTTTTTTTATTGCCATATTTGTGTAATATTTTGTATTGGGCTTACACTCTAGCTACACTGAGGTTTGCTTCACAAGTGGAAAAAAAGTCTTAATTACAGAATCTTTTCGAAAAGAGGTCTTTATCCCAGCTATTAATAATGATTAATAACTACTAACCCACATCAACTGGGCCTTTACGAAATTTCTAAAGCTTTTAGCTTTAGTGAGAAGTTTATCCATTTGGGTCTTCTTTTGAGAAGCCATAGAATCTTTTGTGCAGGAATAAAAATCATGTGAAAGTGAGGCCACAGAGAATCCTCCAGCAGACGAGCACCTCTTCACACATCTGCTTTAGATTGCTCAGGCCATGGAACACAATTTCTGGGAGCTGAGTGACAGCATTAACAATAAAAAATGCAGCCAGATTTTCCATTGATTTTTTTTTTCTCCCTCTACATTCTCAGTGATACATTTAGCTGTAACATTATGGGTTTTCAAACCGAGGCTAAATAACTGTAAAATACATTATCTTTTCTGTCAGTGGCCGTCTTAAAAATACTTCTTTTAGAAGAGCCACGAAATGCCATTTTTTATGCCTCTTTCTCTCCCTCAAAAAAGAAGGGGACGCTTGCTCCAGGTCACGCAGAGTGCATTAATTGTTGGTGTACCTTCGCTGTTAAAATATTGTACTTTCAGACACCGAAGCAGGCTTTACAGTAGGTTATTCTTATGCATACTTGCATGATCTGCCTGTTGCCAGTGGATTCCATTAAAATATCACTTCCTTTAAGAATTAGCGTAAAGACAAATGGCTGGTGTGTGCTTCACCATACTTTCTATGACCAAGTACAGTATGTTTCCAGCCACACTTTTTAAACCAGCTCATTGTGGGCCATCAGAGGAAGGCATATATGAATGTCTTTGTTCTGCAGTGTTATAGTCTTGTCCCTGGACCAGAGAGGGACTGCTTTTGCTTCCTTGACAGAAACCGTCCAAGGTAGACAAGGTAGACATGACCTTTGTCGCTGTTGTTTCAATTAATCTTATTTAGTCAATTACAAAGGATTAAGGAGGGATTATTTTTATATAAATTTAAACCTCCAGTCTGCTTTGCTCAGCAAATGCTACGGTCATATTTAATACATAAATGCAGTTTATTTCCATATTTTATGTGAGAACTTTTTTAACAAACACTTAAATATAAAATCTCTCAAAGCTAAAACAATACTTCAGCTGTTTACAAAATATTGGGTTTGTTGGTTGAGAATAGTTCTTCGGTGCTTCATTTTGAGCTTTGCTTTGAATTAAATACACAGTGATATGGACTACTTTCCTGACTGCAAAGGTTACATTTGGCAGTCATAAGGAGTTCTAGTCCCTTGAAATCACATGCCAAACGGCCTCACAGGGGACGAGTAAGAAGAAGAAATCTTTTTGTTCAAGAACATGAAATGAATAGTTAATTAAGAAAAATTGCAGAAACACAGAACGGTGGCATTTCCACATCTCTCTATCCTGCAGAACTGATTGAGATGTATATTGAATGTAACAGCAAAGGAACTGTGTGTGTGTAATGGGATTACATTAATTGGACCATGCTCGTTTTGTGCCTGATAATGATGGGGATTTAGCTGCTTTAAGACTCAAGGTTTTACACATCACTTTCTTCTTTTTTTAGACTCAAAATCAGGTGCCTTGCTGTTACAGGAAAGTCAGTATTAAAGTATTTCTGGCAATTAAACTCCAGCAGGAGTCATATTTGATTAATAAACTAGGAGGGTCCACTTTGCTGTTGAGTTTGTCTGCTTGAGGGTTATTCATAGATGTAAGCATTCTGAAGCATGTGGAGCATACTGTACATTATTGATTTACCCAATACAGGGCTAGTTTGCTTGTAGGATTAAACAAAAAAAATCTGAAGATTACTAGCATAACATTTTTTCAAGTTTAACATGCCTTGTAATTCTGTTTAAGACAAGCGGTCTAATGCCTTTGTTTAAAGCAGCCCTATCTCCATGCCTTTTGAAGCGAGTAAGCAAAGCAAAAATTAATTGAATAAGTCGCTTTGAGAACTTCCTTCTATTTTGTGCTTCATGCCTTTTCTAAACCGCAAGATAACATAGTGGGTTTTAATTACAAAAGCAGCAACAAGAACATGTAACAAGAACTGACTTTTGGAAACAAAGTAACAGAAATTACTGACTTACTGTACATTAAATCATTTCATGAGAAACAGGAAATTTTTCCTGGCACTGCATTCTCCATCCTCAAGAAAAGCTGTGCTAGTTGGGAAAATAAAAGGAAGATTAATATCAAACTCACTCTTTTCAATGGAACAGAATCTACAGTAGCAGTTCATAGATATACAGTATATATTTTAATGTTGGGTATGACACATTATGTGAAATGAGAAGACTTTGGGGTGTATCAGATTTAAGTGTTTTGAGTCAATCTGATGTGACAGAAGTACAGCAATAAAAAACTGCATATGGCACTGATCAAGCTGAATGTGCGCATTAATGTCTTTTGACTTCCATATAATACAGCACTGAGTGCCGTATCATATTTTATTAAGCTGTTGGTGGGTATAGTACATTCCTGCAGCTCTGAGCTGCACATTGCAACTTGTCATGGGTTACAGTTAAAATTTTTTTTCCATGAAAAGTTCCCTAAAATATTAGGGAGCTCTGGCAAGGGATCCCTCGATGTACTGTATACCCAGAGAGAAGCTTCAAGATTATAATATATTGATAAGAAAATGGCAGTGACGTTAATCCTCCATACTGTGGGCTCCTCTGCATAACATAACTATCCAGAAAGCGGGCAAACTTGTAGAGCACTCTGGATCCGTTTCACTGGCACCTCTGTGCTTGTGGCACGTATCTTTGTCACTGGTGCCAAAAACACACCCTGGAAAGGCACATTTCTTAGCTGGCATAACAGCTGCACAGCAGGTCCCTGGTGGAAATCTCTCTTTTCTTTACATTCCTGCTTCGGAGAGCTACTCCATTGAGTTACACATATTTAAAAGTAAATAGTGGCTTATTTAAAAACTTAGGACAGCTGCAGTTTCGCAGCCCATTACTAATGTGTGTGTAATTTCATGTTACAGTAAATAGATACCATCCATAACTGACATTCCAATAACAATACCATTTGCAAAAGTAATAATAATGAGTTTGGAGCCACTACCAGAATTCTGTGTATGCCTTTAATTAATGGTCTTGAAAAAAAGATGAAAAGCAGCCCTTGTGATAACAGCATACAGTCTGCTATGAGGTATGGCATTAAGGGCTGCGTTTTTCTTACAAGATGGAGATAGACCTGACAAGCTCTTGTGAGGGAACAAAGAAAAGAAGAACATCTCTCCAAGCCCTTATGAGGCACTCTCCTTCCACTCGGAAGGCCTGTCACCCAGCAGAGAGAAGCCTCGTTAGCCCAGCAGATTCTCCTCTCTGCGTACAATAAAATTAATTTTGTTCCATAATTGTGTGAAGCTTTGGTGCCTTCAGAAAGCTCTTGTGGGACAGGTGTGCTCCTGGAGCCTGGCTCCTTGCAGCTGTGTACAGTAACGCCACCAGGACTCGCCAGAGATACCTGCTGTGTCTGCTTTGACGTGCTCTGAACATACCCAAGACCAATGAAGCCCTTCCTTATTCCTGATCTCAAAATTCAGCAAATAATAATTTTTCTATTGCAAAGTTGCAAGAGACTGCATTTTTTTCCATTTAAGCAAGAAGGGGAATTCTTCAAATGTATTTTTAAATAAATTCCTTTTCTTCCCTATAGGACCAACTAGGTGTTACTAGGGTGGCAATCAGGATTCTTATTATTCAGAACAGAATTTTCAAATCAATTAGTACCAACCATTCAGACAACCAGACAATGGTGCTAATGACTGAGAAAATGGTATTATTATCTCCATTTCCTGTGCTCTTTTTTATATGTCTGTTCAAAAGATGTACACTACTAGATAAGTTATGCCTGTACACAAAGGTAGTATCTCTGAATGAATAGTGCCTGTTTGATTGTTTGAAAGAGAAGAATTTTACAGTCTGGGTTTGCTAAGGACTTTCCATTCTCTTTTATGTATTAAGGATCTGGAATCTCCTGCCATAATTCTGCCGTACATGTATGCTATCATATTGCAGTTCGTTACTGCCATTTTGGGAAGAGAAAAATATTCAAGTTGCAAGCAAAGACTGTAAATTGATCTATTCTGGAAATTGCCGCCAAAGTTTGCAGTGTAAATATTGCTCCAAGCCTTAAATCAAAACCTTTGATCTATAATGCCAGAGGTACAGTACCAGCAATTATGAGATAATGTATTGCATTCTACAGCTTCTGAGTACAAGGTGCAGCAGCAGAAAATAGGATTATATAGCATTTTTATTTATGATTCAAAGTACCCTTTGTTATTAATACCCTGGCCATTAATGTTTTTCCACTCTCTCTTCAACAGGTAATCTGCTGCACCTTGGTAAACTGCAACTGTGAGTGTTTCAAGCCAGGAAAACTCAAACGGAGGCAATGTGAACAGTGCAGACACGGATGGGTAGCACATGGTGCGTGGAGTGCGATGGCAATTTCGTGCCACTATCTATGATTTTCTTATTCTGCGTGTACACACATGAACTTTTCTTCTTTGTTCACGTCTTCCAGCCTTAAGCAAGCTGAAGGTCCATCACATATACCAAGGCAGCCAGGTGGAGATCGTTCACTCCAATGTGGTCTTCGATATCTGTAGCCTAATGCTGTATGGGACCCAGGCAATTCCAGTCCGGCTGAAGATCCTGCTGGACCGCCTCTTCAGTGTTCTCAAGCAGGAAGAGGTCATCCAGATCTTAAATGCACTGGACTGGACGTTACAGGACTACATCCGAGGATATGTTCTTCAGGTACCTTCTGTACATTCAAGTATACAGTAGGTGCTGTATACTGTCAGAACCATTCACATGGGTTATCTTCCAGTTGTGATCAGAATGAGGCAAATAATAATGATAAGGACTGAGAAAGATAATATACTGGATTCAATTTCTTGGTGACGTCACATGCTAGCTCTCTCCTTGTTGTTTAAGCCAACGGTTTCCTATGCAAATTGGTGGTGTACAAAGCAACATGTATCTATTCCTGGATTTCTGCACTGAGTAGATGTTAAACTGGGGTTTTAGATGTTTTAGTTCATGAACAATATTATAACACACCCATAATATTACAATAGTAAGACGGAGATCATTTTTGCTTCAGTTGCGGAGTCTTTCCATATGAGCAACCCTGAACAGGCCAGGATGGAAATGATTAGAGTTTTACAAGATGGTGATGTTGAGCCACCACACTGGCCGTAGCTATTAGTAAAGCATGAAATATTCAAGACATTACATTTAATTCACGTTAGCCCCTCTTATACTGAATGCAAAATGGGAAATCTCGGCAGGCCATCAAACACATGCTGTATGATAAAATATTTATTACAGTTATAGCACAAAGTTCACTGCCGCTACACTTTCAAAGAAGGGTACCACTCATATGTAATTATAGCTAGGGTGAGCAAGACAGTCAGAGGATGAATCTAAGATCATCTGCTCTCTGATCTTTGTTACCGTACTTCACAGATAACTGGATTTTGAGTGAGAAAATCCACATGATTTAAATTAGGAAAAATTAAGATAAAGATGAAACACTAGGGTACATTAATTAGGTTTCCCTTTTCCTTTTATGTCTACACATCTCACTGTATTTAGAAAAACAAATTCAGTCAGCTTGGGGTAACAGGGTATACTCCAATGTAAAATGCTCACGGCTTCTAATTCAGAGTTACACTGCACGTAATTCTGAAATTGTTTGTATTTTTTTAAGGATGCAACTGGAAAAGTGCTGGACCGCTGGGCCATCATGACCTATGAAGAAGAGGTAGCGACTCTGCAGCAGTTCCTGCGCTTTGGCGAGACCAAGTCCATAGTGGAGCTTATGGCCATCCAGGATAAGGAAGGACAGGCAGTCATTGTGCCCAGCACCAGAACTAATTCTGACATTCGGACATTCATAGAGAACAGCACACAGCGAAGCCCTGGCCTTCCCCCTAAAGTGGAAAAAGCCAGTGCTAGCAACGTTCACCACTTTGAAAGCTTCATCAATAACATGGCCTTCATGCTGCCATTCCAGTTCCTCAGCTCAGTCCCCGCGCCTCTCATCGGCTCGTCGCCAGCTACCTTTCAGCTCGAGCACAGCCAGGGGAAAGAGCCGAAAGGCCGACCGGAAGACCTGGATCCCACCACCGAGAGCAGCTTCCTCGGCTCCGGCTCCGCCTCCTTCGCCTCAGACTGCGAAAGGCACGGCAACCCCCAGGAAGTTTCCGCGAAAGTCGAGGCTGGCGAGGACTTTCCCGCCAGCGACAGTTTCTCCGACACCCCTTCGACTCCCTGCAACGCCTCCCTGAGCTCCGACGTGTCCCAGCTGTCGCCGGAGAACAAGCTGCGGTCGCTGGAGAAGGCCGCCAGCAGCTCGAAGAAGGGCCGCGTTTTCTGCAGCGCCTGTGAAAAGACCTTCTACGACAAAGGCACGCTCAAGATCCACTACAACGCCGTGCACCTGAAGATCAAGCACAGGTGCACCATAGAGGGCTGCAACATGGTCTTCAGTTCCTTAAGGAGCCGCAACCGCCACAGTGCCAACCCCAACCCCAGGCTGCACATGCCTATGAACAGAAATAACAGAGACAAGGACTTAAGAAATAACCTTACAACCGCTGAAACGCCAGAAACCGAAAAACGATCTGAATTCGGTGCCATCACAACCACTGACACCCGGTCTGTTTCCAGCTATATTATCCCCAGCACAGACTCAAAGCTGCAGAACAACTTCCCGAATATTGGGCAAAGTGGCATACTGTTTCCCAACCTGAAGACTGTGCAGCCGGTTCTCCCCTTTTATCGTAGTCTAGTCACACCCGCAGAGCTTGCTAACACCCCAGGTACTTTGCCTTCCTTGCCTCTGATTTCTTCGTCTGTTCCTGTGCAGCCCCCAGCAACAGAGCCTTCCTCTGAGCCAATACCAAAGAAGAAATCCCGCAAGTCTAGCATGCCTATTAAAATAGAGAAAGAAGCCATCGAGACTGTGGGCGAGCTCAGCGAGGGCAGTGGCTCTGATGATGAGATTCCCCTGCAGATGAGAGACAAAGATGAATCTGAGAGTGGCAGCACCACATGTGAAAAACAAGCACCTGTTAATAGAGAGGACAGTGGAGTCATTCAGGCCGCTGACAGAGAGAATTCCGCAGCCTCCGTGCACGGGCAGCTAGACACAAATTCGAATGTAGTCGAGCCCACAGGTGAAGAGCTAGAAGGTGGATTAAAGAGCTTGGAAAAGGGAGCTAGGGGCACACAGGAAGGACCTGTGATTGCATGCGCATCCCCCTTTGACAGTAAGCAAAGAGAGCATTACAATCTCATCAGAACATTGCCCGTACCTGAATTAGAAAACTGCTCCGACAAGCAGTCAGGAAACATGCTTTGCGATGGTGAATTTGTCAGCGAACACAGGACGCAAAACGGGGGGTTGTTTCAGTTTTTAACGAACAGTAAGGACGCACCAGCTTCAGGCACTGATGACTCCAGCAGTGCCATCCCTACCATGAACCCTCATGTGGTTTGCCTAGACAAAGACATGCCCCATCACTGTGAGATCTGCAATAAAACGTTCAAAAACCCGTACAGTGTCAAAATGCATTATCGAAATGTGCACCTGAAAGAAATGCACATGTGCACAGTTGATGGCTGCAACGCAGCCTTTCCGTCTAGAAGAAGCAGAGACAGGTGAGGCACGACCCCAAAAAAACGTCATTTGAAGCATGAGTTTTTAAAAGCAGGGCTAAAGCCAATTTGTTGAAAGTAAAACTTTATTTTCCAAAGCTTTAAAAAATATACATGTACTGACGTTATCGTAGTTGTGTGCTTCTGTATGTGAGGCCATTTTTGTAACTGTCCCATTTTGTAACCTTTAGGCACAGCGCAAACCTGAATCTGCACCACAAGCTGTTGACCAAAGATCACTATGGAAGTTCAAGCACAATCTTCTCCCCCTCCTCTCTCTGCCGAGACATAACTAAAGATTTCCGCCAGGATTTCCCCTTAAAGGAGCACATGGGGCAGACCTCTGTGATCTTCAAAGGAAACAACCGAATGGGTCTAGTTTTCCCCATGAGTAAGATGCTAGAGACCAATCTGGACCCCCCCAAAGAGAGTGGCGCAGAAGAGGAGGCTGTCCTGGATCTGAGCACCGCGTCGGTCATCAAGGCGGGGAGCAACACGCACCCCTCGTGGGATTCTGACGGGGGGAGCGAGGAAGGCATTCCCATGGACGACAGCGACGAGAGCTGTGACGGCACGAGTCTGGCAGCCAGCGAGGGACTCCAGCAGAGGTGGCCTTTGACTGACAAATCCAGCGACTGCCTGACGCAGCACCTGCCAGGAGGCTCGCCCATAACTTGCCACTTATGTCAGAAGGTGTACAGCAACAAAGGGACGTTCAGGGCTCATTACAAAACCGTGCACCTCCGACTGCTGCACAAATGCAAGGTGCCAGGGTGCAACACAATGTTCTCATCTGTGCGAAGTCGAAACAGACACAGCCAGAACCCGAATTTGCACAGGAACCTGAGCACTAATACGTTGAATGAGCAGGAGTAGGCACAGAGAATTGTCCATTCATTGCTATTCATAAGGACTGTTTCTCTTAATTTTCACCCAAACGGCTTGATATACAGCACTCAGTTCTAGCTTTATGCTCTTTTTAAATTCTACATCTAAAGAAGTGTTAATTTGATGAGAGGGTTATTGCATGCATCTATTGTGAGTAAAAAGTCTATATTCCTGAAACAATGATCCGCTCCTCTGTGGCAAAAATGTTTGAAATGAATTGCCCTCAGTCCAAGGTGACTATATTCTTGATTGATGTTAGCAGCCATGTTTTCTACAATCACTTCTACATTTTCACCATGAAAATGTTCTCTGGTTTGGCTGGACTTTCAGATAAACACTCACAATACAATTCACTAAATCAAACAGCAATAGTTTTGATGTATTACAATGAAATATAATGAGTGGGAAATGGGTGGAAAATGCTTAGATATAAAATCTTTATAATTGAAAATGCACTTTGTTAAACATGATATATGTAAGATTCTACCCATTTTAAGTAAACGAGAAGCATATGTTTAAAATGCGTTGTATGAACCAATTTACACTGTAAATACATAAATGGTAGAAGACATAAATCACTTTTGGCCACATGCTGTAATTTAGATATTCTGATGGTAAAATGATTTAAAATTCATACAGAGCTAAAGATGAGTAGATAGTGAATATATTATAGAAATACCTCAAATCTGATTAATTGGGTATTGCCCAAAACATGACGTTTCTTTTATGATATATGTTGTTATAACAGTAATCAACATCAGTGTGTGATTTTATTTTTCCAAATTGAAATACAACTTATTTCAGAATCCAATCAAACAGCTTGACGCTCCTAGTCTGTCTCCATTGTTGCTTTCTATGCACTTATTTAAATATTAAGACATCACTTGCCTTATTCCTCATAAAGAACAAATTCCAATCAAAATGATATGTCTTTTTTTGGACGTAGAAGGTGTGAAATATTTTCATCCTATCTGTATTACATTTCAATTATAAGTTGTGCCAAGCAGAATAGTTTGTGTTTTTGTTAGTGCTGACTGTATCTAATGTCCATTTTGTGACCTAGGTTTTGTTTTTCATTTTTAATATGTGCAGCAAAAACAGCTGTGAATTTTAGGTTTTGTGGCATTCCGATTCTAGAAATGTTAGTAGATAATTGTAAAAGTGTAGTGAACTTGCTGAGTAAATTATTGTTCGATATTGTCTGTATTCATGTTTTGTTTTATGTTTTTGTTTGGAAGGCTAAGGTTGACCAAAGATTTATCTCTCATGAGATATGTAAAAAGCTCTTAACATGAAGTGAGCAGTATTAAGCAGCCCGTTTAGACAATTTAAAATGTTTTCAGTCTGTTTAAAAATGCATCAAAGGAGATATTAAAAATTAATTGTTTGGGCTCTATTCAGGAAGATATAATCTGTAAGTTATTTAAAGAATGATGTAGATTTCTTCAGATCCTGTTATATAAGTAAAGCAGAGTTTGAAATTATTTAGACAACTGTACACTGGCACTGATTCTTTCAAGGACTAGAGCATAATGGAAATGGATCCCCTTTCTCATGATCGTTGCAGAGATATTAATCGTTTTAGTGTAAGTTGTAAACACATTAAAGAGTGAGTTATGTAACACTGTAAATGCATCTGGAGTGAGAATCTTTCTGATTGTGCTTTAAGCATTGTACTGTAAATGTTTTGAAGACATGAAACTGTGATGATCGCTGTCTTACACTGAGAAAACATTCCTTAAGGAACTCTTAACACTAAAGCTTTGTGAACAGAGCTCAAAGTCAACATGTGGTTACAAAGGACTCGTGTCCCAGTCGAGAACTGGAACTGAAATCTGTCGAATTGTATATTTTGTGAATAGGGAAACATGCATACTTCTCTCAAAGAAACCAAAAACAATCTTATACTGTATCAAAAGTACTTTATATTGGATGTATTATTGTCTACTTCTGTCATGGTAAAGAATTTATGGTGTTAAAGATGGCCAAATATTTCTCACATCAATTGTTTATCGTGCCTCGGTTATCTATGTTTTGCAGTATGTTAAAAGAGCACTGTGTTATTCCACATTTTATCAAGATGGACTGGAACAGATCTCCAATACTTGGTCAAGTTGTGAAGTTTGGTCAATCCATTGTCACACATTCTTTCCTAATTGTTGTAACAGTATTCATTCCTGCTAAGTTAAAAGCCATATTTGTTTGCATGCTTTTGTTTTGTTTAAATATCTGTTATTCCTCTTTATTACAAAAAAGTTGTTTTATACAATGTGCAGAGGCAAATTGATTTATACCAGAAAAATCACAACAACTAAAGAAATGGCTGTAATTAAAGTGTTTAATAAAAAAAATGATCTTGCAACTGGGCCGTGTTTTCAGATTAGTTTTGAGCCTTGACCTGTCGCTCACAGACATGAAGGAGCAGCTGTCGGGCAGGGAACATCATGGGTATTGATGTGTGCAACTTGCTAAGGGAAAGACAGTTCTGTTACAGTGGAACAAGTCTATTCATACTCTGGGGAGAAGAGGGGAGTGAATGAAAGCTCACCACTGCTTCAGTAGTCTTTAAACTTGCATGAAATAACTGCTGATACTTCACAGCTTAAATAACAACAATAGATACCGTGCCATTAAATCCCATTGCATGTATTTAAAATTGATTAAAACGCTTCTTGCAAAGATAATCCTTCCTGAATTACAAACTGAAGACAGTCAGTCAGAAAACCAACACCAAATACTACAACAGTTTTCTTTAAAATTATTATATTTAGGATAATTTTTATCTCAAACATTTTTAGGACCAGAGAAAACCTCCCCACAGGTCTGTCCTGTGTTCTATACTCTAAATCTCTACCAACCCATTTTTTAAATGCATACTGTACAGTGTGGTGATTTTGCCCACTAAATATCTGAAATATACTGAAAGAGATACTAAACAGAGCTTGGCTTTTTGTAAATAATATGAGATACTGACAAACAGTAAAATACTTTTTGTTTTGATGATTATGATTTTGCAACTTGTATCCCGAATAGATTTGAAAGCTGCAAAGCAGTGCTGCACAAAAGCTGGAGAACATCTCCACCTGGTGGTTATTTCTCATAGTGTGCATCATTGCACATTTCATTTCCTTGCCTGTTAAACGCACAACAGGTTTTGTTTCATATGTTTTCACATGAGCTCAGCCACCTTATATGTAACCATCTGACATAAAAGTGATTGTCAAAACATCGACAATATTTGAGTAAACACAGTGGAACTGCAAACAACAGAGGCTGTAAAATGCCTTGTAAAATGCTACATTCTAAGGACACCTAAAAATATTTTTCATCATATCCTTCTACCTCAAAGCAGCTCCTAGTACCACGTCAAGTTGTTTAACCAGCAACCTGAGCACAGAATTTGAAGTGTGAAGTGAAGTGTGTACACTGGTCCCGGCCTCTTGAAGACCTCAGCTCACATCTTCCCCAAAGACTTCAAAGATATATCCAACTCCCTTCAACCTGTCATCTCCTGTAAGTTTTTTTCTTCAGCAAAGGTAAGAAATGTCAATGTATATTTTCTAAGAGTGCTTAGTAGAAAACAAGCATGCACGAGCACCAAGTCAGTCACATTCAGAGACTGAGCAGTCTGGATTAATGACTCCATCCTAGATGTCTGTGTTCTTATTTATTTTAAAAAGATTTATCATGTCCAGTGTTAGCCTTCAATTACATCTGACTTGACCTTTATCTTCCCAACTGTTGTAGTATTTGCATTATATATTTTATGTTTATTTAGCGTTTATATGTATTTAATAATTCACATTTTATAGAGCAAAAGATAACCATGTAAGCCCTTTTCGTCTTCAGGCTTCACTGTGTCCAGTTAAAACAATCGACCACAGAGCAGTAACTGCTGAGCAACTGACGGCCTGTGGCTTGCTTCACTTAGTGTAGTCACTGTACGCTGCACTTTTGGATTTTCAAACCTAAGAGTTAACATGAAGGAAAATTTCCTTTCCAAGGAAAAGGCTGTCTATTAGGATATGGTGGGTGACATCTGAACAAGATGGCCTCCAGGTGTCGTGGTGCAAGATCTACAGAACAATTCATAAACGTTTGAACTAGCATGACAGGGGGCGGAAGCCAACGAAATCTGCAAAGCATACACCCGGGGAGCAGAGACAAAAACAAAGCCCCAGGGCAAACCAAACATCAAAGGACCAGGTAATTAGGTGCTTGTGCCTGAAGGCCAGAAGTATTAAGAAACAAAAGCCTCTGCATCAGCATGATGATGATGGTTATGATGGAATGGAAATCACTGAAATATGGAATCTGGCCAACAGAGAGTGATGGTGAATACACCTTTAATGTGCACTGAAAGATGGTTCAAAGAGTGTTCATGCACACGAACCCAACCTATAAGATTCAAGAGTCTCTTGCATGTTAGGAATATGCTACAGACCGCCACCTACAGCAAGTATGCTGTAATGCAGCCTTATACAATGAATGCAAAGTGTAACTATGGGGAAATATTTTAGTTTACTTCACAACGACTAGGGGAAACCGCAAGTGATGTGAACACGGTTGACATGGTTAGCAGCCGCTTTCTTTCTCAGAATGTCAGGATGTCAGAGCACTTCCTAGAGGGATTGCTTGTATTGAAATCATATTCTCCAATAATCAATAGTGTGAAGAAAACAGAGGTGAGAGATCCACCAGGGAAATGTGTAACACTACAGTTCACAATTTCTGGAAAGCAGGCTGAAGGACTGAGATAGAGATTAAGAG